TCCAATCTGTGTAGTGAGACCCTATAATCCCTCTACTAAGTACATAAAAAGATAATGTAAATTATTAAAAGAGGTTGTAAAATCTTTTAAAAAGTTACTTCAGTAGTATTTAAATAACTCCTATATATAAGCCATGAACAGCTAAAATATGACTTTTGGATTAATTCAAAGCATTTCTATTTCTCACAGGTTCATGACATGAATTTGTGAAATTTGAAGTTCAACATCACTGAACAAGCTATTCTTCTTAACAAGAGTGGATAAAAAGGATGATGATGGTGATGATAATAATAGCCATAGGAATAGCTAAGCTTCCTTGGCTAATTCTGTGGGCTAGATATGGTAGTGAGCTTTTTAGCTGAACTATTTAACCCTCATCCCCACATACCCCCAAAGTAGGGATTTTTGTTGTCCCCATCTCACAGCTGAAGACTCAGAAGGTTCAGCTAGTATTTCTCTCTCTGTCAGAAAAGCAAAGCTTTCACAGACGTAGTTGTAACAAGCAAGCAGAGCGCGTATCCCTGGCTGACAGCTCTTGTCAGGATCAGTATTTCATCTCAACGAAGCAGGAAATACATATATATTAGCGTCTTTCTTTCCTCCACAAAAAAACAAAGGCTGGGAAGCAGTAATCTGCCACCTACTCATAAACAATTACACTAAATTGAGGAGTTTATTTCCTGAGTCACCGTCTCAAATCAAACCATCCATTTACCAATTAGAAATGTTTAGTCTGTAAAGCTGGAAATTGCCAGAAGAGAATCAAATTGCCAAGAAAAAGAAAGAACTTGCGTATTCTCTTTTATGTAAAGATCGAAGGGCATTGATGGTCCAGTTTCCTCTTACACTCTGCACCTGATGCCCTGCCCTGTGAATGTGGAGGGCAGGCAAGGCACAATTTGGCCACCTCCTCACTGCTTTCAAAATTCAGAATAAACTGGTTAAACCTGAGGAAATCATGCAAATGTCATATACAGAGGAGAGGGAAGACATCTCACTACGTGCTAATAAACCGTAGCACTGATACTTTCCATTATATTCAGAAATGTGAGTCCTCTTTGTTCCAGCTTGTTTGATGAAGTCATTGCTATGGAATCCAAATAAGCCACTGAGAGGGCACAATATGGAAAGCACCTTTTTCATATTGTTTCCTATATGATTTGGGGAGTTTATGTGTATTCCCTTGATTCTTATACTGAAGAAGAAAAGGTCCAATACAGTTTTCTTCTTTCTTTCTTCTATGGTGTGCCATCCTATCTCTATTATAACTCTATCCCTTGGAGTACAAATGAACACAAAGTACAATTATTAAGAAAAAGCATTATTTCAATTGAAAAAGGCAACACACTGCTGATTTACTTCATTAAAAATAGATAGCTTGAATATATTCAAAATACTAAATTGGGCATTAAGCTGCCCTCACCTAACCAGTCTTCATCTGCAAATAACTTGCCTTATGATTCCATTTAGCAAAATTTTACATGTAAAAAAGTAATTCATTTGCATGAACCCCCTAGTGCAAACCTGATTGCATCCCAGATCATTCACTTAATTATCATGGAAAAATCAAAACAGAAAATCAGTACCACTGATTAGCATTGCTAAAGAGCTCCTATTAGAAAGAGGAAACACAGCCTGCAGAGTTAACTCTTCCTGCCTGGCGGCGCCCCTCAGAAGGCAGGCCTTGCTTATTCGACCACCAAAAGACTTCATAAATAATCAGGTGGAATAAAACACTTAGAATGCTAGGCTGGGTTCTAATAACAAATGGCTTCTTTATCTGTGTGTTAAGGAGAAATAAATGATGGGGCATTGAGTTACTAATTCATTTTTGCAATTCCAGAGGGATTAATAATTCTAGACAATTAATCTTTTTTTATGTATTTAGTACAGGGTCTACAGGGTTTTACTACACAGATCAGACTCGTAGTGATTTTCCTGTTTTCAGCCTCCCAAGCACTGGGATTACAGGCACACACCACCACACCCAGTCTCAATCGCCCTCTCAGTGCACCCCAGGGGTGGGGCTGGCACAGCACAACCGGGGGTTGCATCCCTGCTGCTGCATTCTGCCTAAGCAGGTGCTTTAGTCTGCGGAGCTATGTGGCTAGACAATTAATCTTGACTTTAAATCTATTATCTTTCTGGAATCACTAAGCATACTCATAGAAATAGCTTGGGTGCCCTTTGAGAGTTTTTTCAAGCCCACAGTCCTTCAAATTAAAAATGATATCTCAAGAAGAGATGCTTTTCCCCCCCACCAAGAGTCCATTTCAATTGTTCATTTTTTTTTTTTTTATTTGAGACAGGGTCTCACTGTGCCATTTGGGCTGACCTGAGGCTCCTTTTTATAGCCCCCAGGCTGGTCTCGAACTCACAGAGATCCTCCTGGCTCAACCTTCCGAGTACTGGGATTACAGATCTGCGCCACCATGCCTGGTTCTGGGGCTGCACTGTGGGCACCTATATCCAGGGTCAAGGAAGCAGTCCCCAGGGATCCAGGGCAGAGACCACAGGGCATGCGGGGCCGTGATCCAACTCGGGTCCTTGTGCTTGCCAGGTAGGTGCTTATGCCTCTGAGCTATCTCTCCAGCCACTCACTTGTTCATTTTCATAAAGGAGAACTGTAACTCTCAACCTGTTAGGTCTCAGATGTGCCCAATTTATGTCCCCTGAATATCAAAGGATGAATTCTAAGGAAAACAGATGAAGAACTGAAAGTTTGATTGAGAGAGACCTCCTGAAAGACAGGTGGGGTCTCCAAAGTGGGTCGCTACCAAGGCCCTTTGTGAGGGGTAATCTATACAGTAAAGTCACTCTGTGGGTATAACCAGGGTCAAACTGCAATCAAACTATAGAATTACAAGTATAGCTGCTTAGCTAATATTGATCCAAATGGAAGTGGGTCATGCAGCAAGGCGACACGAAAAGAACAAAGGCATTCTGGGGAAAGGATGAGTCCAGATGCTGTGGTCTCCTCCCTGGGCAACTGATGTCTATATACCAGGTAGGGTTAATTACAACACAATCTTAGGTTACTGTTTGTTCCTTAGGGAGGCAGGCAGGCCAGCCGTTGCATCATTATCTCAAGGTCTGGCCTTTCCCAGATGTGCCTCTGGCCACAGTTCTGATGTTTTTATTTTTGTGCTGACTTCCTTGAGAGCCAGAGCTTCTCTGACTGTGTATTAATTTCTATTTAACTTAGGTCTATCACAGTACCTATAAAGAATGTATCCCTTATTTCTCCTCACACTTCTCAGAAAGCACAGAAGGCAATATGTTGTAATTTGGAGCTCTGAATCTATGAACAGAGCATAAACAGTCAAGTCTCAATGTATTAATAATGTCAAAATAGTAAGTCAGTGATTGCCCTGAGCACAACCTCAGAGGAGGACTTCAGTGGAAATGCACTTTGCTGATACAAGGAATCTTTAAGATTCTGTCATGGCTTCCACTTTCAGCATCCACCACTGTGTTGGTCAACCTAGAGAGAAAACAAACTTTGTCTCAGGATTTTGGAGGTTTCACTTCACAACTAGTTGGCCCTGTCACTTTTGGCACATGGAGGCTCAGGACATCCTGACAGGATCACATGGCAGAGGAGAATGATCAACTCCTAGGAAGGTGTGGAAGAGAGAGGAAGGCGCCAGTCTCACTATCGCAGACTACGTAACTTTCCACACTGAACAGACAGCAGACCAGTGTTGCCAGCAGGGTATAGCTGAAGGGATAAGAATATAACTTTCAAAACTAGGTCATAAAGACACTGCAGTTCCCGCTTGTCTGGATCTTCCTTCTGTGGAAAGCTAGCTGTGCTGTCACCAGGGCCATCAAGCAGCTGAGAGAGAGATGGACAAGTGAGGAATGGAAGCCTCCGGCCAAGGCCCACATGGGTGACCCATCCAGAAACCAGATCCTCCAGCCATTGTTGAGGCTTCTGACAGCTGTGGCCCTGCCAAGGAACTGATTGCAACCTCAGGACACCCTGAACCAGAACCACCAGCTAAGCTACTCCCAAGTCTTGGTCTACAAAATTTATGAGTTAAAAATGTTTACTGCTTTATGCCTTAAAGTTCTTAGATAATGTAGTCCGGCAATAGAAAACTAGCATGCAATGCTTACGTATCTCCACACTCAAGCTACATTCATTTACATCCCAAATACCTCTCAGTAATGCCCATAATTCTGTTGGCAACTTGAGCAGAAGTAGTCCACAGAAGAACCACCTAAAATAATTCTGCACTCTTGACCTTATATTCTGGCTTTTGGCAAGAGCCTAACACCATCGAATCACAGTTTATTCTTTTGTGGCTAGAGGGGTAAACTCACCAATGCCTGTTATAAGGTGCGTCTGCTAGGTTTTTTTTCCACTCAAAGCAGTGTCCCAAATTCTGTCATTTACTTTTAACTATTTAGCATGTGTGAACACCCAGAATTAACCTGCTTGATGCAGAGGAACGGTACTAACTCATAACCTGGAAAGTTCATTATGTCCTTTATATCACAGATTATTTATAAACATTAAAGATTGGGTTTCAAAAAAAAAAAGATTGGGTTTCATGCTCCTCTTAGAGTTACTTTTTCATCCACAAATGTTCTTTTTATTTTCCTGCATCCTAACTGGTTTTCTATGTTTATAGTATAATTATTAGTATATAAATATTAGTATATGAAAATTTAAATGCTATATTTGCATATGAAAATTTAAATAGTAAGAGTTTGTTGCCAGTCAAATTATACAAGATGACTAAAATGCTTTTGGTTTCAAAAGATTTTTAAAAATGGAAATTAGAGGCTAGGAATATGGCAAAGTGATAAAGCTCTTGTCTGGTCTGTATAAGGATCTGGATTTGATTCTCAGTATTTGAAAAAATTTTGAAATTGCATAGAGTGTCATTTTGGTCATGATGCAATGCAAATACAAGCCAAAGACAAGAAAAGGTCTTAGAATTATACAAATTTATGGAAATTAAAAAATTGACTTTCCAGTGCCAGTAGATTGATACAGAAATTAAGAAAGGAATTAAAGAATCTCTTCAGGGCCTAAGAGATAGGTCATCTGCATAAGTGCCTGCCTGGCAAGCAAAAAGTTCTGAGTTCAATTCTTGGTCTCTTCAAATTAACAAAAATAGAAATCCAACATTCTAAACATGTGGGACACAGCAAAGTCAGTACTAAGAGGGTCAATTTTGTTTTTAATTTTATGTATTTGATATAAGTTCTCACTATGCAGCTCAGGCTCATAGTGGTCCTATTTCAGCCTCCCCAGCACTGGGATTACAGGTGTGTGCTACCAGCCCTGGTCTTGGCGGCTGGCACAGCACACCTAGGGTGAGGCCAGCACCACATATGGTACTGGGGATCAAACCCAGGTCCTTGCACCTGCCTAGGCAGGCACTTAGACTGCTGAGCTATCTCCACGGCCCCAAAAGGGTCACTTATAACAATCATTGGAGACATCAAAAAATAGAAAGGTCTCCATCAGTGCACCTCAAAGAATTTGAAAAATAAGAAGAAAACAAACTCAAAATTAGTATAAAGGATCCAGCAGTTGTCAGCTATCTGGGCTAGTGTAATGCCTGATTGTGTTACACTGTTGGGAGTACAAGCACTATCTTCACGGAGGCTTGGAGCCACAGGCTGTTTTAGTAGAAAGGAAGAAATAATAACAATGAAATAAAACTTAAAAACAAAGAATACAAAAGGTCAGTGAAACATAAGCTAGTTTGTAGGAGAATAAAACTGAGAGACCCTTAGCTAGACAAAGGGGGAAAAAAAGAAAATTCAAATAAATAAAAGAAATGAAAAAGAAGTCAAAAGGGTCAGTAGAGAATTTTTTTTTAATTTATTTATTTTTATTTATTACATTTATTTATTGTGTGTGTGGCCAGCTCAGTCCACCAGGCGGCAGGGCTGGCTGGCATGTGGTGCTGGGGGATCGAACTGTGGTCCCTGTGCTTTGCCAAGCTTGTTTCAAGTAGGTGCTTTAGACCACTGAGCCATCTCTCCAGCCCCAGTAGAGAATTTTATAAACAAATATGCTCCCCAAAATTGATAACTTAGCATTACCAGTATGCTAAAACCAGATAAGAATACAAAAAAAAGATGGCTATAAACTAAAATCTTTGGTGAACAAAATCTTTGGTGTTTTGTTTGCCAACCAAAACACATTAAAAGATTATTGAACTATGGCAAAATGCGATTCATGAATACACATGCTCTACCACATGAAAAATACATACCACATCAACAGAAGGAAGACCAAAAACCGTGTGATTATTTAAACAGATGTAGGAAAGGCATTTAGTAAAATTAAACATCCATTTCTGATGAAAATTCTAGATAAACTAGGCATAGAAGGAATGTTCCTTAATATACTAAAGGACTAGGAGCTAATACAATATTGAGATGAGCCCTGCAGGTTCTCAAACTTAAAGTCTTGCATAAGACAAGCACACTCACTTTTACCACTTTATTCAACATAGTATTGAAAGTCCTGGCCAGAGCAATTAGGCAAGAGAAAGAAATAAAGGGCACTAGGAACAAAGTTTTACAAAGAGAGAAGGAAGAAGGCTTGAAGGGAAGGAGGGAGAGTGGGAAAAAAGTATAATATGTACAGATACAAATTCCCTATGATGAATATGATAGTGTACCAATAAAATTATTTTTTTAAAAAATTGAAAAGAAGTAAAACTGTCACAATTGATGACATAATCTGATTTATAAAAAAATCCCAAAGTCTCTCCCAAAAATCTATTAGAACTAATAAACAAGTTCAGCAAATTTGCAGGCTACAAAATAAAAATATAAAAATCAGTAGCACGGCTATATGACAAGAGCCAAATGTCTGACACAAATCAGGAAAGCAATCTCATTTACAGTATCTACCAGAAAATGAAACTAAGTACCTAGGAATAAAAGTAATCAAAGAAATGAAAGGCTATGACAATGAAAATTATAAAACATTGATGAAGCAAATTGAAGATACAAGATAGCTTAGAAGAAGCAATATCATTGAAGTTTCCATGCTACCTAAGGCTGCTTACAAAATTAAGAGTCCCTACCATAATACCAATGACATTCTTCGCAGAACCAAAAAAAATTTTTTTAATTTATATGAAATTACAAAAAAAAATCTTAAGCAAAAAGAACAAAGCAGGAAGCATTACATTACTTGACATATTACAAAGCTTAGTAGTGTAATCAGAAGAGCACGATGCTGCTACAAAACTTGGCGCACAGACCAGTCGGACAGACTAGAGCACCTAGAAGTAAACCCACACAGGTACTGCAAGGTGATTTTTTGATGAAAGTGTTAAGAACACACACTGGAGAGAGGATGATCTTTTCAATAAATGATGCTAGGAAAATTGGATAATGCAAAAGAATGTAGCCCTACCCTTTCTCTCATCAGCTACCCAAAAAATTAACTAAAATGAAGACTGAAATGTAAGGCCTGAAGCTACAAAACTGTTAGAAGAACATGGAGGAATTTCTTTAGGACATTGGAATTGGTAAGGAGCTTTTGTGAGCAAGAAAATAAAAGAATGGAAACAAAAGAAAAAAATAGACAAATGGAATTACCTCAAAGTGAAAGTCTTCACAGCAAGGGAAACAATCCAGAGAAGGTAGAGACAGCCTACAGAATGGGAGGAAATACTTGCACCTGACACATCTTTTAAGAAGTTGATATTAGAATGAAAAGGGAACTTTAAAACCTCAATATAAAAAAAACCTCAAATATTTACAATTTTGTGTGTCAGCCTTAAATTTCTTAATTTTTATCTTGAAATAATTTCCAATTTCCTTGAGACAGAAAAATAAATAATACCCATCCATACACATTTATGTGCAATATATAAAGATATTTCCAAGAATCTGAGAGTAATTTGTGCATATCACGGCCCTTTACATCCAAACGTTTCAGTGTGGGGCTGGTGAGCTAGCTCAGCAGACTAAGCGCCTGCTTAGGCAAGCACAAGAACTGAGGTTTGATCCCCGGTACCGCAAGCTGCGCAGGTCTGACTGAGCCAGCCAATGAGACTGGGCATGGTGGCCCATGCCTATAATCCCAGCACTAGGGAGGCTGACAACCGAAGTATCACTATGAGTCCAAGCTGTGTAGTGAGATCCTGTACCAAATACATTAAAAATAAAGAAATAAATAAGTTTAATTTAAGAAATAAATTTAAAAATATATTTCAGTGTGCATTTACTAAGAATAAGAATATTGACATATGTAATGATGGCAAATGATGTGGGAATTAAACATTGATGCAATACTACTATTGCATACAGCTGAGTTAGGAAGAAACAGAGGCTGTCGGATAGGGCTTGGCCCTCCAAAGAGTCAGGACGAAGAGGACAACTCTTTACAACTGTGGCTGGAGGTGTATCTGTTGGAGACCAGGCCTCAAGAAAAAGATAGAAAGACCAGGCCTGAGCTAAGTGGGAGCACCTGTTGTGCTAAAGTCTAGATAGACATCAGTCCCCTCTGTGGGTGACTAAGCTGCTTATACTCATCATTTGCTATAAAGTTCTCTGTTCTTTCCACGTGCATTTGCTACATGACCTGCTTCTCTATTGAGTCAATATTCCTAAGTGGCTGTACTTATAATCGTATTGGTTGATCATAGATGCAACCTATTTTGTGCCCACATGGTTGTACTTTATAAAACTTTCCCTGAGAAATGAGGTCCTCAGCAACCCACTTGGGGCTCCTCCTGCCTCTTGGAAGCTCTATCTTTCCCACTCTACAAATTTTTCCTACTCTTAACCTCCACAGTTCCTAGAATTCATCCTTAGATTTTAAAGAACACAAACTCGGCATACCAAACATCTTGCAGGTTGGGAGCTATGCTATTTCCTTTCTATCATATTTGAAGGTCCTGGTCTCATGCTCTTATATTGACACTACCTACTCAACAGACCTAATTTAAATGTGATCAAGTGTTCTTACAATGTGTTTTTTTCAAATGGAAACTGCAAAATTTCACTAATGAAACATCAGTGAAGGTACCTTTACAACCTCATGCACAAGTAGCATTATGTAGATGACAATGATATGACAATGTAAAATGTGACTGAGGCCAAAACAGGGTTATAAAATAAGTATGAAAATTTAGAAAGTATTTCTGCCTGGTAAGTAGATGAAGCAAAAGAAGTTATAAACAGAGGAACTAGAAGTAAAACGGAGGGAGAAAGTAGCCTCTCAGAGAACAGGCAAATAGGCAAGATTCCTAAGAACATGAAGTACAAAAGTGAATGAGTGAAAGAGGAAGGTCAGAGCTGGATCAAACACCGGGATGGACAGTAGGTGAGAACGTTTCCTGATGGCAAACCCAAACACTTCAGGAAATCTCAGGTGCTCCATTGGTGAAGAGATTTAAGAAAAATATACTAGAAAATGGAACTTGATCTATCCAGGAAGAAAAGGACTTACTGCTTTATTTTGTCTATCTTCAACCAAAAATATTGATTGTTGAAAAATCTGAAACATTTCATGATTCACCAATCCCCCACTCAATTTGAGAAGCAAAAAATCTAATCACAACAAAATAAGTAATGAAAGAAGCAATTTATTTTGAAAAAAAAAAACCAACTAAAATAAGGAGAAAGAAGAGTAAATGTAATCCTTGGATGGGCAGTTGGATGTTGAGCGTCCCCAGAATCTTGACTCTTCTTGCACACAGTGCAGGGAGGTCAGGGACAGTGCTAGGAAGCCAGAATGCCTGCAGAAGTATTGTTCCCCTTGGTACATGCAGCAATAGGAGAAAGGCTGATAAGTGGCCTTCAGCCCCCACCACTGGCATGGCAAGGAGCACCTACATGTCACCTGCTTGCCTAGCTCGGGACCATCCACCTGATCTTCATTCACTGAGATTCTCATTACTAGGTCTCAGCTAAGTAATCCAAGTCAAATCTTTCTTTCCTCAAAGATCATTTCTTAGAAATTAAAACTCCACAGGGGAACAAAGACTTTGGGAGAAAAAGAATTTCTGTAGAAGTAAGACTTTAGAAAACTTTCCTGGGGGCTGGTGAGATGGCTCAGTGGTCTAAAGCACCCACTTGGAACAAGCTTGGCAAAGCACAGGGACCGCGGTTCAATCCCCCAGCACCACATGCCAGCCAGCCCCACCCCCAGGTGGGCTGAGCTGCCCCCCCACAAATAAATAAATGTTAAAAATAAATAAAAAATAAAACTACCTCATGCATCTCTTTCCCATCTTGCAAAATGGTGGATGAAAAAACTGAGAAGCCAGACACTAAAGAGAAGAAACCCGAAGCCAAGAAGGCTTCTGCCTATGAAAAAAAAAAAAAGAAAGAAAGAAAGAAAACTTTCCTGATAATTCACACATCCAGGTCTTATGAAGGCAAATGTGGGCACATCTACAAGCACATACACATGCACACAAAGCTATCTTTTAATAGCTATACCACTTAGGTTTTAATATTCATTTGCTCCTAAAAGTTCCCAAACAATTACATATACCCTGGTTTTTATAGAGCTTTTGGGCCAAGAAATAGTAGAACAGAAATGTCTGAGTTGAAGGCCTTAATAACTTTCATTTTATGGACGAAATTATTGAAGCCCCAAGTTAAAGTGATTAATCATGATTGCAGAGCTCACTTGTGCATAAGGTCTAACACTAGAAGCCAGAACTCAGGTCTGTCAACTTCCAACAGATTACCTCTCTCTCCATCAGGAAAAACCATCGGTCTTTCTAAAATAATGGTACCCACAAATGCTTCTTGAAATGCAAATTCATTAAAAGTGTGATTCTCTGAGTGACTATGCTACTTACTTCATTGAGAATGTGAATTAAAAAGCGCATAAAGGGCCGGCGAGATAGCTCAGAGGTGTAAAGCTCTTGCTTAGGGGAGCTTAAGCAAGCACTCAGGGGCCACAGTTCGATCCCCAGCACCACATGCTGCACCAGCCCCAGGGTGGGCTGAGCTGGCCACCAAAAAAAAAGCTCATAAATTACTTCCATGTTTATGCTCTACAGATGTCTCAAATAGGGACATGGTGATTCAGCTGCCCCTTTTCACAGTGGATGCTGTTCTGAACCACTAATCCAGACCAGGATGTGGAGTAACCACTGGTATCCCTTGCAGCAGGCACTGCCACAAACACTTTGTGGCTTTAAGACCCCATGGCCAAAGTTTTGAAGATTTGAGACAATATCTAAGGAAACTGCTGAGGAAGTGCAAGTAAGCAGAAGAACATAATTATTCAAAGCTGCACTTGGTCAGGACATTCAAGAGAAAGCACTTGAGCAGTTTCCTCTCCCACCTCCATTTCCTCACCAAAGGCATA